ACTGGGAGTGCACCACAATGGACTGGCATGCACTGGGACGGACTGGGAGTGCACTGGGAGTGCGCCTGGATGGATTGGAATGAACTGGAATGAACTGGGATGGAGTGAGAGTGCACTGGGATGCACTGGGAGTGCACTGGGATGGACTGGGAGTGCACCAGTACAGACTGGGGGGCACTGGGATGGACTGGGAGTGCACGAGTACAGACTGGGGGGCACTGGGATGAACTGGGAGTGCACCAGTACAAACTGGGGCTGCACCAGTACAGACTGGGGGGCACTGGGATGAACTGGGAGTGCACCAGTACAAACTGGGGCTGCACCAGTACAAACTGGGGGGCACTGGGATGAAGAAAAGTCCCTCCCAGTCCCTCCCAGTCCCTCCCAGTCCCTCCCAGTTCTCCCACCCTCCCTTGGAGGACCCAGCCCGTCCTCCACCGCCAGGGGGCGCCGCGGTGCCACCCAACTCACCGGAGGCGGCGGCGTAGCAAGACCGGAAGTCGCCTCGCGGGCGCCAAAAGAGGCGTGGCTTGTCCCATGAGAGGCGTGATCTATTGAGAATGGGCGGGGTTTAAGCCTGAAGGGGGCGTGGCTTTTCAGCGGGGCGCTCAAGGACAAAAAGGGCGGGAAGGAACGAGGGGGCGGAAGTGACGTCACGCGGGGCGGAAGAGGCGGCGGGGCCGGGCCGGGGTCGCTCCGGTGCCGGGCCCGGTTGGGTCCCGGTGCCGGTTCCGGTTCCGGTGCCGGTGCCGGTGCCATGCGGGCCATTGAAGAGGTTCTCGGGGGACTTGAGGGGTTTTTGGGGGGGGGTATGGAATTTTGGGGTGGGATTTTGGGGGGATTTGTGGGATTTTGGGCTGGTTTTTTGGGGGTTTTACGGGATTTTAACCCATTAACCCCTTCCTGCCCAGCGCGGGGTGAACCCCAGCTCGGTGGGGGGGATTTCGGGGTGCATTTTTGGGGGGATTTATGGGATTTTGGGTGGGTTTTTGGGGGGATTTAGGGGATTTTGATCTGTTTTTGGGGGGTTTATGGGATTTTAACGCGTTAACCCCTTCCTGCCCAGCGCGGGGTGAACCCCAGCTCGGCGGGGGGGATTTTGGGGTGGGTTTTTTGGGGGGGATTTATGGGATTTTGATCTGGTTTTGGGGCATTTATGGGATTTTAACGCGTTAACCCCTTCCTGCCCAGCGCGGGGTGAACCCCAGCTCGGTGGGGGGGATTTTGGGTGGGTTTTTTGGGGTGTTTTTAGGGGGGTTTATGGGATTTTAACCGGTTAACCCCTTCGTGCCAAGCGCAGGGTGAACCCCAGCTCGGTGGGGGGATTTTGGGGCAGGATTTTGGGGGGATTTCGGGCTGTTTGTGGGATTTTAACCCTTTAACCCCTTCCTGCCCAGCGCGGGGTGAACCCCAGCTCGGTGGGGGGCGCGGTGCTGGGCCGGGGGGGCTGCGGGACCCTCGCCCCCGGGCAGACGCTGCTGCTGGTGAACGGGAGCTACCCCCTGGTGCTGCACTTCCTGGGGTCCCCCCACCCCAAAAAACGCCCCCCCAGCCC